TTTTCTACCCATCCTGGAGCTCACAGTAACTCTCTTCACGGGACTGAGCCTCCATTATGCTCTTTCAGTTACTCTGAATGGATTCTCTTTGAAAACTAGATATTCAGATGGTATTTACAGAGTCACAGAATGTGAAGGAATAGTAAACGTCTACTGTGCAAACCGGTGGCTGTCACCCGAACCCGCATCGTGACACTTCTCACAGTACATGATATGCAGCCTCTCCTCTTGATTCTCCCGGAGTTAAGATTCCTCCTTCAGGAAGGTTACCAAACAGAAGCCTGATTGCATCATAAATGTGCCTTATGACATTTTATTTTCTTAAAAGGTAGTTATCAGACCCCAAAATACTTCTATAAAATACAACCAGCATATAGTCTCAGATTGATGGTTAAAATTATTAACCAGGAGCCAGGAATTGTTTTTTGATGGAACATATTTGAACTAATAACCAGTTCAAATTCTCCCTTTACCTCTTGAAAAATTTGTACTGTGGAAAGGTAGTTAATGTTCCGGAGTGACATTTGCCTGTATAGTGAAAACAATGACAGCATCACATTGTCAACACTAAAGCCTGGTGTTTTTACAGTGTGCCATTTTAATTGCTTTGCACGTATTATACGACTTAATTTTCACAAGAACTTTGCACAGCAGCCGTAGTCATTCTCATTTTATAGATAGGAATTCAAAGACCAGAGAGTTAAAAGTACTAGATTCCAGGTCGCCTAGCTAATAAAGAGTGGTACCAGCAGTCAGACCCAAGATGGTTTGGGTCAATACCTTTGAACTCTCTACAGTACTTCAGCCTTGTGAAATTGGAAGGATACTATTAACAATATCCACCTTGTGGATGGTGCCTGTGGCTCAAGGAGTAGGGCACCGGCCCCATATGCTGAGGGTGGCAGGTTCAAACCCAGCCCTCGCCAAAAAACCACAATATATATCTACCTTATGTGATCATTATGAAGCATAGAAATGATGGATATAGAAAATCTGCCATAAAAGCTGTTCCTCAAGAAGCCCTAAACAAAATGGTAATCATTGTTTTAATTCTCTGTAAGCAAAACTTAGAATGCCAAGACCAATAAAAACCAGTGTCCAGAGGGGGAAGGCAAGAGGCAGAGATGCTTCATGTGTTGGTTGGTTGGTTTGTGTGAACGGGCTTGGATTTCTCCTTTTCTGATAGGCAGAGATTTTCTGTAGAACTTAGTTTTCCTTTAGATGACTGCAGGAAGGATCGTTGGGCACATTGAATGGAACCACTAATGTGGTTCTTCTCAAACTATAAAAAAAAAAGAGAAAGAAAAGAAAATTAAATCTATAAAATGTAACCTTTTTTTACTTTTCTCAGTTGAAGATTTAGCGTTATCTAGAGAGCTTTGTTAACCTCAGAGTTTCTATGTGTATGATTTTGTGTTAAATTTAGGATGGTAAGAAAATAGATAATGGTACTAACTTTGAGTATTAAATATACTATATTGTTGGTCTTCCATGAAGCTTTTACTTAAAAATAATGTAGTAAAAGAAATGGCGGGGGGTGGGGGGGCAGTACCTGTGGCTCAAAGGAGTAGGGCGCTGGCCCTATATACCAGAGGTGGCAGGTTCAAACTCAACCCTGGCCAAAAGAAAGAAAGAAATGAGGTCTGTGAGTTACCACCAAATCTCCCTATTTCCAATCTGTCAACAGAATTTTCACACTTCTTTAATTTCTCTTGTGGGAGGAATCAGAATGCTAATAATCATCTTGATCTAAGCCACCTTATTGGGGAAAAAATTCAGTGTGCATTTTTAACTGCTATTCGGTTCTCCCCATGTTTCATGGTTGAGGTCACTTCAACACATTGTACTAGAATTTGGGATTTTATTTCATTTTAGATTGGACCGATTTTTCCGGTGTTTGTCATTAAAAATAATTCAACTCTTCGAAGAGGTCTCGGATATTTTATTAAGCAAATAAAGTTATTTTATTTAGTAGTTGTGTTATTAAGCTTTCTACATACCTAGGATAATTAATAATAATAACATAATGAATCTGCTTTTATTAATATTATTCTTATGAAAATGAATGTCATTGTTCAAAATCTTCTTGGAATCCAAAGTTTGAAGACTTTTGCTTGAAAAATAGGCAAGATAGTTAACTGAGTAAAAATAACGATGCGACTTGTGGATCATCCATGTTATGAAAGATTAAAATGTCAAAAGGAAACTGAAGCAGGAACACAATGGGCATGGCGTTCGTGCTCATGATGGTCATCTCCATTTTAGAACAAAGTACCCATGAAATAGTGAAAAGCAAAGAGCAGCGTTTCTCTAACCTTCCCTTCTTGACTTTTGTTGTGTTGAGTTTGTTTGTTGGGGAGTTGAACTAAATAAATTGGTTGGTTCCTTCTACGTTTAAAAAGTATAGTTCTGTGTGATATTTATTTATATGAATAAAAATATAAAGCCTTACCAGATTTTTTGAGATGCAGTAACAATAAAAACAGAAAGGTAATATTATTGTACCTATAAATTACTACATAATGAAAATTTATAAACTATACAGAAGTTTCCCTGCAAAAAAAACAGCTATAAGCAGTGGTCCGTTCCTTGTTAAAAAAGACTTTTCAAGTGAAAAGAGTCTTAACTCGGCTCCAACAGCAGAAAAATAGACATTGCGTGGTGTAATCTATCCTAAAACTTTTTAACTCTAGATATTCTTTTCCATGCAAATAGTATGCAAATTTATGAATTTGGGGTAAGTAATCTTATCCTTAGATATTTGAGCTTGATCATAATCCATATAGTCAAAGTAGCCTCTTTATAAATAACCAAAGTTAGCCAAAGATTTTTTTTTCCTTCTCTTTCAAAAAAAAAAAAAAAATCAAGTAATTCTACCCAAATTGGAAAAAAAAAGATGAACCTTGTAAAGTATCCTCAAATGATGTTGACGTAATAGTGTACGTGCTTGAGGATAATTTATTAGAACATGTAATTAAAATTAACCTACAAAAAAAAAATTAACCTGTACATTAAACGAATCAATTTCAGTTCTTTTAAAACATAAGATGATTTAATAATATAGGTCAGAGATTATTTTTAGTGTTATAGTAAATATAGATTGATTTCTGAAATATGAGGATCATGGATAGCACATTTAGCTTGTATTAATACTGATTGGCCAAAAAGCTCTCAGGCTAATGAGAGTGTAAATAATATTATAGTCATATTGTGCTCATTCTGTTAATTTTCAATCCCCCTTTTCCCTAGAAGGCAAATTTTCTTTCATCTTTTTGACTTGCTCACAAAATCTTCCCTAAATACATTGAGCAGTACTTCCCAAACTGTTAGTTGTGCAGGTCTCAAGGCAACTCTGAGATTTGGTTACCAGAACGTGGGTTATTCATTTGTATTTTAGATTCGTGGCCTAAATTTTATTCTTAGTTCCTTAAAAATACTCAAAAAATTGTTGGCTTTTTTTTTTCCTTATTGTAAGCCCTGTGGAAATAGAAGCAAATCACTGTTTCTACATGAAAAATGTGATGAAAATTACAAAACAAAGCCCTATGAAATACAGGGCTTGCATTTGCCTATGACTTAAGAAAAAAACCCTTGAATAGTTTTGTCAGGCTTGTTGTTTTGTTTGAGCTCCAGAACCTCCCAGGTTTCAAGGGCACACAGGGTGGGGTTCATATGTAGCATTAATCTGATGTATGGACATGGATGCGTATTTTTCCCACATCTGCCTCTGTGGACCTAGCCTTCGTGAGATCCTAAACCTTATACTAAGGGTTAGTGTATGATTCTCGGTGATCTGAGAGCAATTACATCATTTTTTCTTAGGGTGTTCATTCGATGTGCACTGTAAAATTAAAAAAGGAGATTTTTTTTGGTAATCCTGCACTTGCCTTTTTGTTGGTACATTTCTTTTCCTTTTACTCTGACCTATGAACGTCACTGTAGGCTCATTGCCAATTTTGTGAGCCGCTGCCTGCTTCAAAATGGAGGCAGGAAAGTATCCATTTTCATCGAGAGGATGACAGTGTTTCAGTCTCTCTGACCATCTGGAGAGAGGAACTTTGAGAGCAAAAGAAAATGGAGATTAAAAAAAAAATTATATTTAGCAGAAAAGGCAAGGGTGAAAACCAATTAGAGTTAAACTATACCTTATGGATTTGTGCTTCCCCCACTCTGCTGTCCTGTTTAAAGGAAACATAAACAAGAAAATACACAGGCTATTTTGATAAAGAACGGACTCCCCAAGTCTCATGAGTATTAGCAAACAAATGGAGGTAAATTAGGGTTTTGGCACACTTTTTAAGTTTACTGTACACACAGATATAAGAAGCAGTAAAAACGAGGGCCCCCCTCCCTGTCCTCTGTGCGCACTGAGTGTTGGTGGTCTCGCGCAGACCCAGGCTGTTGGTGCCCTTTTCATGCATCTCTGCAAAAAGCTGACACTACAGGAAGTTCATATTCCAGGATAAATTTATGACTTTTTGTAGTTGGGGTGGTTCATATGTTTGCCCCCCTTCTTTCTCTCTTTCTCCCCCACCCCTTTCCCTGTCTCTCTCTCCCCACCCCCCTTCAATGTTTAATTGAAAGGTAGAATTTTTACTCTACCTTTTGGAAGAGTCTGGAGGCACGTCTTTCTGCTTTTACCTTCCACTTGCTCGTGGGCCATCTGTGTTTAAAAAAGAAAAAGGAATGCTTTGACTGGCAGGACTACCCGGTGGGTATTATGTGGCAAGTGTACACCTAGACATTGTTGCAACACGCTTGTCTGTGGCTGGGATATATCATAACCGGTTGAATCCTATTTAAGGAAATAGACTGAGCAGGTTTTTTATTTTTTGGTTTTATGCTGGATTTTAAAAGGGCCAGCGTTTTTAGGCTCTGATCAGATTTGGACTGGATAGGGTAGTAATTCAGCATTTTGCATTTGCTTCTTGTAAAGTGATGGACCTTCAGGTGCTTTGGTCAATTCAGAAAGCAAAATTCTATTGGTTCTTCTTCCGCAGGTCTACGCTCCGTCAGCCAGCACTGCCGACTACAATAGGGACTCGCCAGGCTACCCTTCCTCAAAACCAGCAACCAGCACTTTCCCTAGCTCCTTCTTCATGCAAGGTAAGATGCTGCTTTCAAAGGAAGACTCCCTGGACAGGGTCTTGGTGGGTCGTTGATTGTCATATAGGACAGATATGAGTAGAATAGTACGGAAGTATAGGATTTTGGCAGTAATGCTCTTCTTATGAATTGAATTCCTTAAAAATGAATGAATGAATCACAACTCTACCAAGAGTTTTTCAAAAAAAATTAAACTCCCTTGAGCATAATGAGATGTTAGGTCCATGCTTAGGACTAATGCTGCTCGTGGTCTCCCCCATGCCACTGACCATTTCAGCTTTCCATCTTCCCCAGGAGGACTGTGTGTGTGTACAGAAGGGTTTCAGCTCAGTGTATGTTCAGAGCATCCTGGATTTAGCCAACAGGGAACAAGTAGTCTTTATAACTTTATATAAAATTTTCAGCTACTTATTAATTTGTAGGTAAGAACATGGGTCTCATTTTTTGAAGTGACCCATCTGAAGGCTGGAATAATACTTGGTGAGAACTCTATCCCAACATGCTAACTGATTTAGGACAAAAGACTCAACTTTTGGGCAGATAAATCTAGAACATCCCAACTTCATAGTAGGTAAAGTAGATTTGTTTTAATTCCCAGTGTGTGTAGTGACATGCAGATGGATGGGGGTGTTCTCCCACCTCTCCCCAGGGCTTGTCATCTTGGCCATTGGGAGCATAACCCCATTCTGCTTCTTGAAAAGACACAGATGTTTGAAATAACAGCAGCACCTTTAAGAATGAACCGTTTGGAGGATGCCCATATGGGCTTCATCCCTGATATGCCTGAGCACTTACTGTTCAATGCAGTGATCTTGCTGCCAAGCTAATACCCTGAATCTACATGTGGAATTTCCCAAGAACCCCTGTGCTCAGGACTTTCTTGGCCTGGGTGTGAAAACCTTATTTGTACATGTCCTGCAGCGTGCCAGGGGATTGTCTTCTTGTGCTCCTTCTAGAAGGACCAGGTCACAGGACAAGGAGCTCACTTGGGGCAGAGCGTAGCAGGGGAACAGCCTGGTGTCTCAGAGTATAGTGGACACTCAGAATCATTCTGATTAAAAGAGAGTTGTTTTCTTCCCTTCAGTGCATTAGCTTTTTCAGATTGTTAGTTCACATGTGAAATTCCATGGAAAATCTATAAAATTAAATCAGGTGGGGCCCTTGGAAATAGAGAGAATTTATTCCACCCAGTCCTGGAGTTCTTGTTCACAGGGGTCCTTTATCTTGTGACCTGTCCTAGGTGTAACTCCCAAAGGGACAGAGCAGGCTGCATCTCTTGGGTACACTGTGCGTCATGATAAAAGGCACATTACCTTTGGCTCAAAACAGTGGCTACTGGGCATCAGCTCCCCTTTTCTGTGAGCAGTGGGAGAAATTGTCCCACAGGTGCTTACAGAGGCCATCAGTTCAAAGATTTGTCCCTCAAAAGAGATTTTGATTGAGAAAATCAACGGAAAGATCCATTTCTTCTTTCTATGTGGGAAAGTGGCATGTTGGGGAGGGGGGCAAGCAGATTAAAACTGCAGACTCCTTTACCTAGCAGACCACGCATTACACGGGGAATGAATTTGTTTTTCTGCATATGAGTACCCAAAAAGCAAAAAGAAAAAAAAACTGAGTTGACATTTATGATGCACACAGTTAATCTGCGCACATCTAATCCTATTCTTTCAAAACAACATTATGCCAAGATCATGGGATGTGATAAATATTAATTTCCTGTGAAAAGCATAATTTATGTAAAGTATGTATTTTTGTAAGTCTGCACCGAGTGGAGTATTCTGCGTTAACAATCCTAAGTACGTTGCCACCCAGTGTATCACATTGTCAGAATGTTTCAGGAGACTCTTGTTCATTGATACAGATTTTCAATTTATCTGTCATACGCATCATCTATTTAAAATGTTAGTGATCTTGAACTTCATATTTGAATTTAAGGTGACATTTAAAAAACCTCTATAATCTAAGGACTACAGCTAAAGCAAATGAATAATTTTTTTAGAAAAAACTCTGTGTTTTTACATTATGACTATAGAAACAACTGCATCCTTGATCCTGTCTCAAAATAGCTTTTTTCAGTAGAGTACAGGGCACCCTGAGAATTCAGGACTTGAAAGAATATGCAATTAACGTGAAAGATATTCAGAGACTGTCTGGGGCATATTTTCAACTCAATACTCTGGCCTCTTATTTTTAACTTCAATTTCCATCTTCTAGTTAAAACTCCAGAGTTGTCAGAATCACAGACGCAATTTTGCTCGCATGGTTCTTAAATCTATAGACTGTTCCTCCCTGTTCGGAAGCGAGTCCAGTTCTAAAATTCTGACTTCTGGATTTAAACACCCAGTGAAAAAGTGCTTCACAAAATAATATGGTGTCAGATTTCCCTTTCCTGTTGCCTAAATGTTCAAAAGGCCTTTTAGTAAGTAAAATGTTATAGTGAAAATAATCTTATGTTCTTGAACTTCTTATGTTCAAGAAAGCAATACCTGCTATACATTTAAGACCTAGCTGATGGTCTGGTATATAGCCAGCCCTCAGGAATTTTTTATTAACCTACTGAAAGAAGGAAAAAAAATGAATGAATTCAGCAATAATACAGATTGTCTTTTCCCCTACTCTTAAGAAACTAAACCAAATAATACCTCTAATGATAACCTCTAGGCACAGGACGTAAAAGACATCTGTAGAATTGTTTTTAATGTGGTGTTAACACAAGGTTAACTCATATTAAAGATACTTTATATAAGTTCCATATATTTTTAAACTTCTTTTAAACTCAGAAATAATTTTATAAAACCCAGAGGCTCTCAAAGTTGTCTGTAGCATAATACCTACCTTATAATATGTATGTACTCTCTGAATCACTATTAAAGGCTGAAGAGAGCTATATTCCTATATATCAAAAAAATAAAAAAAACCTAAGAACTGTATATTTGAGACTCCTCCATACACACCATAAAATTATGCTAGTTCCAGCTTTAATTCTATTGTAGATGTTACAAAAATGAAATCTAGCACTTTTAAATCTGAGATGTTACTGATTTCTTGGTTTTCAAAACTCGTAGACTTGTCAACTCTGTAATACCTTAAGTATTTTATTTTCATCTCAAAGTTTAAGGACAATTTCTTTTTCATTAATTCTCGTAGAATAAGAAGGGTGAGAAGACCCACGAAGAAACGCTTCCTTTGGTGTTTGCCACGCTGACTTGACACAATTCTCTGTAGAAACAGGCTCTGTTGTTCTTTTCCAGTGGAGTTTTCGCTTTAACTTTCTTAAATGTTTATATTTGTTTGACAGTATAGAGCCACTTGGGAAGAAATAATGATGACTGTCTTCTGATGTAATCAGCCAGCCAACACAAAGATGAATACACAACAGGCAGTCATTTTCAAGTATATGAAAAACCCCTATTCTATAAGGCGAGGCTGACTGCCTCGGAAGAGTCATGGTTGTCTTTGTCCTTTACAGATGGCCATCACAGCAGTGACCCTTGGAGTTCCTCCAGTGGGATGAATCAGCCTGGCTACGGAGGCATGTTGGGCAATTCTTCTCATATTCCACAGTCTAGCAGCTACTGCAGCCTGCACCCACATGAGCGTTTGGTAAGGCAGATTTGCATGGTGATGGGAATAACACAGCCAGTTTTTCAAATCTCGCCCTCCTTCTTGCCATGTGTGTGCACAGGGATTCTGCAAACCGGTACAAAAATGGCACACAGCCATTGCTTCTACAGTCGTATTGTTTCTTTGATCAAAGACGTAACGGCATCAGATCACCTTTGTAAACCCTTCCGTCTCCTCTTGGTCATTGTTCTGTTGTTTATTGTTTTGCTCTGTGCTTTCTTTATCACAGTGTCAGCTTCCTTTGGCACATGAATACACAGTGTATTTAAGTTGCAGCATTTCAGCTTTAAGGAGTCTTTGTCATTTTGTTGCTGGGTGTAGTTTTGAGGGATATGCTGCAGAGGGCGGGGAGATGGTCAGTAGGTTTTATGCTTCCCCTCTGGACATTTCCATTTTGCCTTGGCTGCTAGTGTCAGCCTTGACCTGTGTGGCATACACAAAGGAAGGAGTTGGTATTTTCTATATAGTCTCATCAGTAAGAGCGATCGTGGGGTTTCTAGTTTTTAGTCTTTCAACTCTGATTCATACCCTAATCTGCCCCTGATGTTCTGTTTTACCTCACTCCTGATGAAAGCGGCTAGGTGTTAGAACGTTGCATCTTTCACTAGTGAAAGTTTCCACTGTACTTGTCACCTATACTCAACAATCCTCCTGTCTCTATATTCTGAAAGAAGCAACTCACCTGGCTTTTTTCTCGCCTCAGATACCACTACAGCCCAGAACCCCCTGATGAATTTAAGCGTGTCATTAAATTGAGGAAAGAGTCTAGATCCTGAGTTAAGTTTGGGATGCAGGTAAGGGTGAGACTGGAGTCCCTTCTGCAATAATGCAGCTTAAAGACGTGGGAACCTTCAAACCCTCCAAATAGAAAGCGTTCTGGCCAATCCAGTGGCCTCTGTGGTGTTTACGCCTCTGCTCTTCACCTTGTCATTTGCCCAGTCTGCTTCCTGCATATATCCACGTCTGTGTTTCTTTCTGTGTTCTGATAAAGGACATAATTCTGGGTTTTCGTAATCTTATTATCGTTTTGCTCAACTACTATAGATAGAGAAAAGCTGTCTTATATCCTACGCTGAAAACCAAGGGAAAAAAAATTGAGAGGATAAGATTTCTGACATCTTGGATATACATATCTAGTTGGTTTTAGTGATGGAGATGCTGTGTGGCCAGTTAGCTGCTTCATTCCTAAGAGGTAGGATGGAATTGGCCGTTTTCTATCATCTCCCAAGTTCAAATGGAGGAATCCCAGATGTCTCAAATTTCAGCGCATTTTCAGTAAATAGCAGATGACTGCATTTCAGATTTCCTCTTCTCCCACCCACTTGAAGATACTAGAGTGAAAACTTAGAGAAACATCAACTATCCTTGTATTAGAATTTCTCTTGGCGAACATTGTTATTTCTCAACCATCATTCTCCATTTCTCTAGGAACCGATGATCAGAGTTACATGTGCCTATGAGCAAAGAAGTTCTCATTACAGATGAAAGTATTAGGTAGTATAGTAACATAACTGAACCTCAGATGGCCATTTGATACTCATTTTTCTCTTTTTATTTTTATTTACTGTTATGTATATTTTTATTTTTTTCCCCTTTCCTCCTATAGTGCTTGCTTCCTTTGCTTATCATGATCTAGAATTTTGAGTTTTAGGTGGTTTGACTTTTATCCCAGTCATGGAAAGTACCTTTAAAATGTGCTCTGATGGGCAGTGCCTGTGGCTCAGAGGAGTAGGGTGCCGGCCCCATATGCCAGAGGTGGCGGGTTCAAACCCAGCCCCAGATAAAAACTGCTAAAAAAAAAAAAAGTGCCCTGATGCAGAAAAAGTCTAATTTCAAAATGGAAACCAACTACATTCCTTTTAGAAGAAGTTGTGCTGACCCAAACCTATATTACCAACCAAGGAGAAAGATCGTTTGGAAGGAGTAACCCAACCGACTACATCAGCAGCGGTATTTGTGATGCCATTTATCTATTACAAAATAAAGGATTTTCAGTCTTTGTATGATTAGTCAGCAAATTTCAGGGAGGAGGATTTTTTTGTTTTAAAGGGGAAATGAACAAGCTCTCTGGTAATGGAGACTGATGAATTTTCCCACTGAGACTATGGGAATAATGAAGTCTAGTTGTCACTGTAATTTTAGTATGGTTAAATCTGAATTTTTTTACTGAAGTGACTTTGGAAAATCTGACACTGGTGGGAAATAATCTGAATATACTGCCTCTTAGCATAGCAGTTGGTATCCTTTCCTTTGAAAATAATGGTAGTGCCTAACAATTGTTCTTCATAGCATTTGGCTAGTCCCTTACCCAACACAGGGACGTTTGAAAGAGAGCGTTTTCCCGGGATTATTTGGGGTATAATTTGGCTAAGTTAGTATTATCTCTAAAGGGAAAACATTTTAGAAACATCATTGCCACCTTCACTGGATGCCCTGTTAAAATAAAATACGTAATTATAAAGGCTAAGATCCACATTTCAGTAGTGACTGTCAGTTCACTAATTTTAAGTATTTCAGTCCCCTTCACAGTGTCAGCCTCTGTGATAGAATCCCACAGGTAATCACTACGATGCTGTAGAGACACACGCAAAATCACTCAGATGAGTTTGTGGTTAAGCTTGGAAGGGGTTATTATAGAACATTTAAGTTTGGAATGAGTTGGCAGAGTTCTTTTTCTGTGTGTTTTTGGTTTTGGGGTGTTTTTGTTTTTTTTTGAGACAGAGTCTTACTAAGTCACCATTGGTAGAGTGCTGTGGCGTCACAGCTCACAGCAACCTCAAACTCCGGGGCTCAAGTGATTCTCTTGCCTCAGCATCTCATGTAGCTGGGACTATAGGCGCCCGCCACAACGCCCGGCTATTTTTTGTTGCAATTGTCATTGTTATTTAGCTGACCCAGCCCGGGTTCAAACCCACCACCCTTGGTGCATGTGGCTGGTGCCACAACCACTGCGCTACAGGCATTGAGCTGGCAGAATTGTTTTTAAAAATAGGATGGAGTCCTCACTGTGTGGCATGATTTAGGCATGATCTTTGCACTACGGAGGGATATAGTTGCAGGAATCTGGAATTAGAGTAGGAAGGAAGTTCTGTTGTCTTTTATTTTTTGTAACATAAACTTTTATTGCAGTAATTCCAACTGGGGGAGGAGAGGTGGATTTTGCCCTTCAGTGAACATTCAGCAATGTCTGGAGACATTTTTATTGTCACAACTAGGGGGTCAATGCGACTGGAATCTGGTGTGTAGAGGCGAGGGATGCTGGTACACAGACTGTCCTGTGCAAACCTGGCACCAAAGAGAACAGGGCCAAGGTTGTGAAATTCTGCCTTAGGCCAGAGCATTGTTTTATCCTCATGTGGGCAGTATATGCTACCAATTAATACAACCCATAGGTCAATTAAAAACATCACCTATGGAAACGTTTCCAATGCTTACTTTGTAAATAGACCCTGAATACACTACCACTGGGTATCATAATTAAAAATAAACACTGGGCATGTAAAGCCACAACACTTTGTCACACTGTTGTCACTCTGTCCCTTAGTAGCAAGCCGGACAGCAGTGGTAGCTGGAGTGAAGGACTAAGAGGACCTCTCACAGTTGATCCCTAATCCTCTGAAAGAGACATTACTCCCATAGCACCAATACCCTCGGTGGTGTATTTATTATGTCTCTGAGCGACAATAGTTTTCAAGATACTTTTCATTGTAAAATAATCTAGTTATAAATCTCATTAATTTCTTACCACATCTAATTTTCTGGGAGTCTCTAAAAATTACTAATTTATGTGGATTGCATTGGTTTCCCCACTAAAAGCTATGGGGATTAACTTTTCTTTTTATTCTGTGATCTCAGTATTAACCCTTAGTCTAATCCTGAATGACTGTCCATTTTACATAAAGCTAAGAGAAGCCAAAACTTCTCATCAATACGATTACCATTTCTGTCTCCTCTGCTGGTTGTCATTATTTAAGTGTTTTTTATAATTCTTTTGCTCTGGTTTTGCACATTTTGGACAGATTTGTAGTTTGTCTTTTCTTCAGGAGCTAACCGTGAAATGGGACTGTATAAAAGTGAAGCCAAACTGTATCTTTCCCCCCCTACTTTTCTTTTTCCACACTCTGTTTCTCCATTTTATTCTAGAGAGAAATGGCTCTGTGCTTTCCTAAGTGTGGTCTTCCCTGACTTACCCGTTCTTTCGGATTGGCTGTGCTAGGCAATGCTTCTGCTCTGTTATTCTTCAAAGACATTTCAGGGACCATTTGGAGAATTCTTTAAATGGCGAGTAGAAATGAGTTTCACAGGTGGCATGAGGAACTTCTTGGTCACAAAAGGAAGTTTGTGAAATTTAAAGATTTAAAAGGCATTCTTGGGAACATGGAAAAGGTTTAAGTGGATCATCTTGACTTTTTCACTGAATTTTTTTTAAGCTGTTCTATTTTTGCATGCAGAGGTCATATGTTCAGAGACATCCCCTTGTCATTGGCAGACCTAGCTCAGAGGTCTAGATTCAATTCCTTGACTATTTTGTGTGTCAAATGAGTCATATTTCAGTCCAGTGTTTAACTCCGACGGCGAGTTGTTCACTGAGCATGTCATGTAGTAACGTGTTTGGGACTCAGCCAGGGGTTGGGGGACGCAAAGCTGCGAACTCTGTTCTCCCCCTTTAAAGAGTTTGCAGCACAGGTAGATGTCTACTAAAAGGGCAAGAATAGCCAGCCTGTAATTAAGGGTTAAATGGCACAGTACACAACGTAAGTGAATGGGGACGCAGGCAGAGGCGAGCAGAGGGGAGTTAGAAGTGGGAAAGGAATCTGCAGGGAAAAGCTAGAACTCAAGAGGAGTCTCACAAAATAAAGGGGACAACACCCAAGAGCCTGAGGAGCCACTTATGAGCAAATGCTTAGGCAGTAAGTACCTGTTACTACTGGGTATCAGCATCACATTCAGTCTTTAATTTTAAATTAAACAGTTTTAGTAACATCTCCTATAATGATATAAAGATCTATGTATGGTCCAGTAATACATTTCATATGAAAGAAAAATGTATTTTAGCTAATACATAGTTTTTCTCCTTGTACATAACTGTAACAGGTTCAAATGCCTGTGAGAGCAACTTTGGAAGCTCTTTTGTTATCTTGTGAAGGGAAATAGCTGGGTATAGCTTTGTAAATGACGTTTCCCTATTAGTGACCTGCTTATTCTCAAGCAGAGTGTAGATAGCAACTCATTTGCCACTTTACAAGCACTGGGATGTGCCCCAAGAAATGTAGCTTATTTGGACAACTGATAGAATCATTGAACTCAAAGCCACATCTCAAGCCAAATAATTTCATAGTCAGCTATATGGTAGGCGGCTAATGGAGGAAACTGGTAAGCAAAGAACTGGTCATCCGTAGTTCATTGCGGTTCTAATTTAATGCAGTGGAGCCATTGATTTAAGGCTTTACACCATTAAATATGATAGGTAACCATTAAGTGCTTTCTAAACTTTTTATAGGCCGTTTTGTTCACGTTTCTGGGGTTCAGAAAGGTAATCCGGTTTGGCAGGAAGAAGATTTGGGACTGGTTACTCTTTGCCTAAGTGTCCAGGAGGTCAGGATCGAGTGTGGGGTAAGGACCATGGTTCATAAGGTTATATTCATCAGATTGTAGAATCTTTTGCACTTGATCAGTGGGCCATACCAAACATTAACAGTGGGGATGGTCTTTCATGTTGCTAAAATCTCCGAAAGGATTTTAAGCAGGGAATTGTAGATTTAGAGATTGTGACCATTCCCACGTCCTATGTTGTCCTTATCCTCCCCCACACTTGGTGCAAACTCAAACCAACTGTGTATCTACGTATTTTATTATTTGAAAAATGGAAGCTGTGAGATCTAAGCAAGATGTATTCTTGGAGATTTTGAAATTCTAAATGTTGTCTCCATTGCAAAATGGAGAGTTCTGAAAGAAGGATTTGACAGCTGACTTGCCGAATATCTTCCGATTAAACGTGGCCTCCTGTTTCTGCTCTTGCTGCAGAGCTATCCATCGCACTCCTCAGCAGACATCAATTCCAGTCTTCCCCCGATGTCCACTTTCCACCGTAGTGGGACAAACCACTACAGCACCTCTTCCTGCACGCCTCCTGCCAACGGGACAGACAGTATAATGGGTGAGTCGCAGAAATGCCAAGTCTCCTGCCAGCAGTCCATGTCGGTCTGTGATAATGGAGGTCCTCTTTTCCCCCCTCGTCACCGTATAGCAATCGGCAACAAATGTTTGCCACGTAATTGAACAAATAAACGAACCAGACACATAATCACGGGCTTCACCATAATCAGTTTTTTTTTTGTTATAAGAAACTGAAATTTGGGCTATTTTGCCTATTGGGAGTCCTTAGATTAAAGAAGGGTTTAAATCCAACAAACTACCTGACTCTTCACACTCAGAGATAGCAAGCAAAGTGAACTTTTCCTAAGATGAGCCCTTGAAGACTAGTGAGATGGGGGTATGATAACAACTTGTAACAGTAGTTATTAACCAGTTCTCAAATTTCAGTCACTGTCCCGAGCTCTTCCAAAGTCTAGTTTCTGTGCAATTCTCAGCTGACCATTAATAACTAGGTAAACTTGACCTCCTAGAGGATCAAGGGGGAGTCCCTCAGAGTGGATGAACTATTTGCTCACTTAGGAGAGCAGAGATACCTAGCACATGGGCCAGAAGTTGTTTGCTCCCTTTTTCCCAAGGAAATTTACAAACGAGTTAAAGCTCAAGAATTATGCTGCTGCCATGAACTGAGCCATCATTTTCTCATTTTTTTGTGATGTCCATTGTGGTCCTTTCCCTAGAACAAAGGTTGTCCCACCAACACGCTCCCCTTGAGGACAGAGCTAGGTAGGACGTCCAGCTGCCCCTGGAGGGAAGAGTCAGGGTGGTTAGGGAGGCAGCCCTCTATTTTTTTATTATTTAGGATTCATTGAGGGTACAAAGAATTAGGTTACACTGATTGCATTTGTTAGGTAAAGTCCCTCTTATAACTGTGTCCCACCCCCAAGAGGTGTGCCATGTACTGTAACCTCCCATCCCCCCTCCCCCTTCCCTCTCCCTCATTCCCTGCCCCCACCTTGTATTAGATCATCTGCTGCCTTCATATCAGAACTGAGTACATTGGATTCTTGCTTCTCCATTCTTGTGATGCTATACAAATAAGAATGTGTTACAATGCAATCCAGGTTAATACAAAAAATGTAAAGTCTCCCTCTTTTTTAATGGCTGAATAGTACTCCATGGTATACATATATCATAGCTTATTGATTCCTTCTTGGGTTGCTGGGCATTTAGGTTGTTTCAACAATTTGGCAATTGTAAACCAAGGCAGCCCCTTTTGAGTCAGACTTAACATTTGTCATTCAGATGAGCAACATGGGGTAAGGCACCAAAGCCTTATTCCAACCTCAGACTTCCCTGGGAACCACATCCTCTGGTTCTAGATCACATTCACCTTTGCTTGGCCTGAACATCACTTCCAGAGGGTGAGTGGGGAGAACACTCAGGGTATGTCTTTGAGAGAAGATTATGTATCAGAATAATACTACAGTTGATTTCTCTTAGCTCTCTGCATTCACCACCCTCCGCCCAAAAAAAACTTTGGGAAGTTATATGAATCACTTAGGAGGGAACGTTTTTGATGAGGGAGAGAAGATATGTTTTGAAATGTTGGAGATATAATTTCTGCCTCAATAATATCCTGCTTGCTAATTCAATAATATATTTCACACTTGAGATGAGCCATCTCACAGCCCCTCTGCTATCCTGTCTCACGAAGAAGCAAATTGAAGAAAGTTTCCATTTTTGTAACTTTTGTGAACCAGGCTTCTGCAAATGGGTGGCATCTGTTTGACCTGGGAGAGCACTGGACAGAGGTCACATGGGGAAGTTTGGTTAGCTATCAGTGCAGTCGTGGCTGCTTTGAAAAACAAGAAGAAAGCAAGCAGTGCAGAACTGAAAGAGTGAGAAAAGCATATTTCACTTCAGTGTGGTTTGACACACGGAAAGCCCCTGTCTGCAGTCACGAGGTCTGGTTTGGAGGAGGATGGCTGGTCATCCATCCTCTTACATGGCAGATTTCCTGTCTACTCGTGGTTTGAGTAATCGTCTTTTTTTAGGAAGGTACGAAGGTGGAGCAAAATTTTGAGTTGAGGAAAACATACTTAGGCACTGTTTGAAAAAAACACTTTGTTGATTGATTTGCAAAAGACACCTTCCTGGGAGGGAGGCAGTGTGACTTGGAATGAAGGAGGCATCAGGAGATGGGGCAGTCAATCTGTGTGCTGTGGGCAGCATAGCCGCAGGTCTGTGGGGCAGAGAGGTTTGCTTGATTTAAGCTGGTTATGTTGTGGATGAACAGAGGAAAACCTGCTTACTCGGCCTGGGCAGAGTGGAGTGTGTTAAGAGCTCAGCTACACACTAAGGATGGACTTAACTTCTGATAGATCACAGGACTCTACACAAGGGTCTAGACAATGATGTAGAAGCTGTAATTTAAAAATAGAAAAGTATGAGATTTTAAAAGCTTTTAAAGAAGTTTATTAAATTATTTATTTCACAATGATGGGTGTCCTTGTCAAAATGTGAAAAAGTTTCATGACCTTTCAGGAAGTCAGGAGACATGGTAATTCAGCTTTGGGGGGACCAGACCTTTACTCATTTGTGTAGAATACAGATCCGCCTTTAAGGAAGAACATTCTAGAATATGCCCTTCAGTTGCTGAAGTAGAACAGAGAGGAAAATGTAAGCATGATGATACAGAGTAAGCCTTAGTGCCCAGTGTGCACGTGGCTCCTGCATCTCGGGCGTCAGTCCTTTTAAGCTCCGGGTTGGTTTTCTGAGCGTGGCGGAAGTGAGCAAGGCAGCGCATCTGTTTAACAAGAAGAGAAGCTTTCCCTTCTGATGTTACTGAGACTTCCCCCAACAAACAGTATGGATTAATAGGAGACATCTGTAGACTTTTGAAAATATTTGGCATATACTCACTCATTCTGAAATGCAGGAAATAAAGAAATATTACATTGCCTGTATCTCAAAGAACAAACAGAGCTAATTAAATAATGGGTAAATAGGGAACACACAGTCTGACACATGTTTGAGATTACACACGATTTTGTAGAAATGACTCTAAGCAATACTAATGCCGTCAGAGTGGGATCCAGGCAGTAACACATGGACATCACATTTCCCGAGTTTTCTTGGTGGAAAGTTGCAAGGCCATGCGGTCTGTTCATAGGCAGCATTGATATCTTAGGAAGCTACTTTCTTTCAGTTCAGAAGACGACCACGGCCCTGTGTCTTGGTATCGTATTATAAGGTCTTTTGGGGGTCAGCAGTTGCTCTGAACTGACGGTAGAACCACAGGCGCCCTGCAGGGTGAGACGGAAGCTCTAGAACTGTCAGAAGATCACCTCTGTAAGCCCTTCCTCCTGTTCTGCCCTCTGCATCTCAAAGAGCAGAGAGACTCAAGAGGCTTATTAGGTGTTTGGCTTGAGGAAGTGGCCGGTTCTTGTTTGGTTTTCTTTTGCCCCATAATATGCAACATCATTGTTTGAGAGACCTTTAGAAAGGATCAAGCTTGCTTAGATTGCGTTAATGAGGGGATTAAAAAAAATAATGATACAAGGTATTGTGGCAGACACCCGTAGTCCCTGCTACTCCAGAGGCTGGGGCAGCAGGATCACTTGAACCCAGGAATTGGAGGTTGCTGTGAGCTGGGCTGATTCCATGATAGTCTAGCCTGAACGACAGAGTGAGACTCTGTCTCAAAAAACAAAAACGTGATACATTCATTCATGGATTTTTCAAGAGAGTGGCAGAGTCAATTTTTTATACAAGACATGTAGTCCACAATTTTGCTCTCAAGCCTTGTCGGCGAGCTCTGGGGATGGCATCAGACATTTCTGGATTGGAAGGGTCTGTCCAGCACCCTAGAAGTATGAGAGTGTAACGTGTGTGACCCAGCATGGACTCACAGTCCTTCAGCTGCTAGTGCGCCCAGTGAAGGATGAGCAGATGTGGGGGCTTTGAGAGTTAGCAACCCCAGTGCCCCTCTGGTCGACTCTTAAAAGTCTTTCAGTGCTGTGGGGTATACCTCAGAAGCAGCACCGTTCAGCTCCTCTGCATGTGTACGGAGGAGGATGTGTAGTGGGTCATCACATACCCGCTCTGAACAGAACAGAAATGACTCCTAGACAGTAGCCGCATACATTTTGCTGTCCTCATATAGCCTGCCTTCCTGCAGTGTCACACAATAGTTCTTCCCAGTCAAAAGAAGTGAGAGAACCCCCCTGCCTACCACAGCACGGCCCACTGAGACTACTCAAGGATGACAGTGCCTCAGCCTCCCCACGGGGAGACGCCGTCTGTATACATTCACAGGACATGACCCCTTGTGGTCTGGGGCTACACCTCCTCCCTCACCCTCAGAGAGAACTGGGCATATAACTAGCATAATGGTTGCAATAACTCTTATTGTTTTATTAGTCTTTAACTGGCCTGCTTTCTAATACATGGTATTTGCCTTGTTTTTAAACCTCAAACCAAACAGTGTTGAAGGAACAGGCTGGCAAGATTGATTTAATGCACCATATGCTGAAGATTACCCTGGAATATCTATCTGGTTCATGAATTAATCTGGTTTACAACTTTCACTTCTAATGACATGTTTGTATGACATGATACATTTTAGTGTGTGGCTTTGCTAGTAGAAACATTACGTCCTTTCCCCCTTGAGGACTTGGTTTCACAGTAATTTTATTATTAGAGTAGTCACATAATATTCACTTTATATTTCACAAGAATCCCGAGCCTTCAGATGCAGCTGGGTGATGAACAGGCAGAGAGCGTAGAGTAATAAGAATTTTATCCGGCAGTGTCAGGGCATTTTAGCTACAAAGACCACCAGTAGAGAACAGTAAACTAGTTTGATTTAAATCGGTCTCCTCCATTTCCTGCCCAACTTTCCCCTGAATGCCTGGGGATTCCTCCTGGTAAAAATTAACACAAAAGCAGCATCTACTTGAGTGTTCATTCTAAAATGGTTGTAATCAGGGTGCTGGAAGCGTTCCCCTTTTTGTTGTCTTCATAAACAAACTGGTGGCATTGTTAATGCTGCTTCCAATAGCTTAGTAACAGGAGGGTCGCTCCAGCGCAGCTCGGAAGGACCGACTTCTAAAGCATGATATGCTTCTCTTGGGCAATAGCACTTAGTCTTCTGACCCCTCCATGGTACACGTGTTCTTGGCCTTGGTAAAGAGGGAACACGGCTTCCAAATACTGATTTTCAGTAGTTTTCTTCAGGGACCATTCATCCCACTGTTTAGCTTAGGGTGTGTTCTAATGGGAATGGCCATCTCCCCAAAGCTGAGACTAAGACGGAGGGTGGTCCAGAATGTAGCCTGAGAGATATTCTCTTCTGACCTTTGTTTTATTTTTTTTTATACAAAAAGAGAAAGAAAGAGAGGTGAAGCTCTTTTTCTGCTTCATCTTCTGGCCAGCACCAACACCTGTGTGCAAGCCCTGTCAACAACACTTGGGTGGCAACCAGTGTCAAATCCTCCTACAAAATTACAGTTCCTCTTAAGCATTGCTCCTCTCCCATTCTTATTTATGTTACAACTGTACTTAAAGATGGATTTTTTTTTTTCCTTTGGGGCAAGAGAAATTGATTAGAGCTGAAATAACTTAGGAAATCGATCCAGTCTTTACCAAGCAGAGGTTGTAGTTTTCATCTTTATTTCTGTTACATGGACAGTTTGATCATTTCTAATAATGTAAGTTGACAAAAACTTGAGCCTGAAATAGTAACCCAGTCCTGTTATGTTAAAGCTGAAAAGGTAGAGTTGATGTGTTTCATCGAGCATGACCCCCTTCTCAATGCAAAAAAAAAAAAAAATGCCATTTGAGAATTAAAGATGCGTTTACTTTCTGATTATGCCCTCTGACACATCGGTCACACAGATGAAAAGAGGAGAACCCATGTAGGTTAACATGTTGAGGGAGTCTTGAAAATGTGTCTTCTCTAGTGTGTCCTGGAACAGAACAAAAGGCATTTCAAGTGCAAGGGCAGACCAGCCCCAATAATCTGCTTTGAAATTCAAACCCCTGCGTTAGGCTCCCCAGCTGGTGCAAGATAAATGGCCTCATGATAAAAAATAGTCTCTTCTTATCGGTGGTTTGGTAATAGCCTTTGTAGTTTTCTGAAACATTTTCATGACACGATGGGGTAAGGAGGTGATTTATTTCCTGAGTCATCTTATCTCCCTGTGTAAAATGGTAACCGATAGAAAGTTAAGTTGGAAAGGTAAAATTCTAAAGAAATTAGAGTGATTGTATTTTGCCCGTTCTACAGCAGGACTTTATACCATATACTAATTACTTTTTAAATGTTTCTAAAGTGGTTTTATTGGTTTTTAATAATTTCTGTTTGGTCGCAAGAAAATACATTTTTAAAAGTACATAATCTTCGCTTGAAAGTTGTTCAAAGGAAGAATTAATCTTTTGCAAGGTATTACTATAGCAAATTTTATCTGTAATTGAAACAATATCTTGTTCTTTTTTGGTTTAGTTTCTCAGATAATGTGATTCCTCCCCGCCCCACCCCAGTGTGGCTCTGAATTTTTATTTCAGGAAAATCTATGTTCAAATCAATCAAAGCCCACTAATTATTTTGACTGGTATGTTAATGTTTAGATATATAATCATGAAAAGAAATATTACTTCTAGAAAAAAAGAGGGCCCCCGAATACCATGGTAATCCATACTGAAAAAATGTTAATGTTACGTGTATTCTCTCTTCTCTAGCACTATCTCTTCAGAATTGTTTTTGAAGAACTCCTTAATGCAGAAATTCTTCTCATTTTATACTAGATATAATTTATTTTTTATCTCATATTAAATGCTTCCCATACTCACTATCTAAGCTGCTTCCCCTTACTCCATTGTATGATATCAGTCATTTCAAAGAATTTGCTTGTATAGTATCTATAATCTGAAATACTAGTAAGGCATGTATTTTTAATATCATAACTTTATGCTTGGAAAATGAAGTTTGTTTTGTCACAAGGTAATCACATTCTTTTCATCATATACCAGTTTTATTTCTGTATTCTAGTAATAAAAAAGGAACATGAGCATGGGTTTTCTGAACCAAATAAAACTTGCATCAAAAGATTATCTAGCTGAGATGTCCATATAAGTATGGGGAAAATAACAGGCATAATCTGACTATGCTGAGCAGGGGTCAGAACAGTGACATTATGACCCGGAGAAGCAGAGAATTCGACCCCTGATCATCTGACTCTGCCACTGTATTTTATGAGTCTGGAAGGTGATGACAGTATGTTTGCCAGAAAGAAGGCTCTCTTGGTTCAAGGGCGGGAAAATTCTTAAAATTATGCGTGTGCAGTGAAGTTTTGCTCGGATTCATCAGTTCATTTAAGGATTTCCTTTTCTTAGTTTACAAAATCGTGAAAAACATCTTCCCCTAGAACTTGAATAGGTTTCATTTAACTACTGTATCTACTTGCTAATGTTGTCACCTTAACAAATGCTGTGCACCCCAGTATTCTAGGCATTCTGTTAGTGCTAAAGATCTCAGAAGAACACCAGCTAGCCCATTTTTTACCACTTATTTACAAAGCCAAGATACCTTCAAAAGATGTGCGTTTTATACAGCTGGCTTTGAATTACATACTGGAATATCTGTCTTTTATTAACAATACTCTTTGTTCATCTACTTTGTAGATAAAAATACCAGTGTATAAGATAGTGGAGATAAACTTCATGAATAGATAGACCTATTTAATCTCTGGAATTTGAGATCATATTGATTATTAATAGTATAACAGTTGAAATTCTTTTAGTGTGATCACAGACTTTAAGATGAGAATATATGTTATTTTAAAAAATTAAAGATGTTTTCTGAATGTTGGTTACCAGAGGCTGGGCTGGGTAGGCAGAGGTGGGAGAATAAAGTAGGAGTGATCGATGGATGCAAAAATATAGTTAGATAGTTAATATAGAAGGAGCAATATTTGCTAGCATAACAAAATCAACTATAATCATAGTAATTTAGGGTATATTTTAAAATAACTCAAAATATGCAATCAGAATGTCTGTAACAGGAAGAAATGATCAATGCTCGAGGTGATGGATACCCCAGTTACCTTGATTTGATTATGATGTGTTGTGTCCCTGTATCAAAACATCACATGGGCAACTCCTATGTGCCCATGATAATTAAAAATAAAAAATGTAATTAAAATATGTTTCCCCTGGTTAGCCAGGCCTATTGTAGATTTTTTGTTTTGTTTTATTCAGCATGGAACTCTGAGAGGAGTACCCCATTTTGCTCTGTACCCAATTTTTGTTTGAAAATAGGTATAAATTATTGTGAAGATAGTTCAATTTACTATTAAAAATGTATATAAAGAAAAGCTGGATGTGAAGACCCCAGAGACCTGGACTACTCCACACTTCTTAGCGGTGACCATCAGGTGCCCACTTGCTCCTTTACCCCACTAACTTGTCCTGAGCAGCAAGAGGGAGAGTTAGAGCCACTAAACCACCTTATCTTTAAACCAAGGTGTCAGGTTTATATTTTATCTGTTAAAAAAAAAAAAGTAACATGCATATATTTGACATCTACCTCAGCAAACAAATTAATGCTAATTAAAGATTAATGTGTTGTAATTAGCATTAAAAATGCAATTAAATTGTGAGTAAATGGACCAGGAATAGAAAATTGTTCGACGTCTCACTGCCTGGTTTTCATATTCTGCCTTTTGTTTTTGCAGCAAACAGAGGAAGCGGGGCAGCAGGCGGCTCCCAGACCGGAGATGCTCTGGGGAAAGCACTTGCTTCGGTGAGGAAATATTGACTTTGGCCTCCATCTGTACCCTTGTAGAAGGGTGAACTTTAATCAGAAGTGGACATTGGGAGTTTTAGTAAATGAATGGCAGCTAGCTTTCATTTGGGGGAAATGCTGGTTTTCTTGCATAACAGTCATTAGACATTTTGAGGAGAAAGCCCTGAAGCTTCCAGTGTCTGGGTAGCCTCTTCCAGCTTCCCCCAGGGATACCAAGCCGCACTCTGTTACAGGAGTGGAGATAGATAGTCTCCTGGCCTTCAGCTTTGCAGATTTTCTGTCTTGATTTTTTATTTTCCTCTGATGTAGGATGGGTGCTCATTGGCCAAAGTAAGTCTAACTTTGCAAGGGACAGTTGTAAAACACTTTGGAAAAGGTACTGGGTGAAAAAAATAAAACCAAAATTGACAGTAACTGAGGTCCGTGAGCAATTGTCACATAATTAAGTGGCTGCTCTGCTTTGCCCACCCCTCTCTGGGAAGCTAGAACTGCACATTTCTTTCATGTTCCATAGTGAACAAATTGTATACCTTTATTTGCCCAAAGGAGTATGTCTCCTATTTTTCTTCCAAAGCTTACACAGGGTCACTTGTAAACGTAGGTGGTTTTTTTTTTTTTTTTTTTGCTCTAAGATTTTTTTTCTCTTCGTTTGGTTTTTCCTCACCCCTGGGAGCACAAAAAAAGTTCAGCCTATATAATTAACCTTGTGCTCTAAGTAAAAGTTTTTATTTCATGTGGGCCTTCTTGTGCCATAGAATCAAATACCTAATCTTAGTAAAAGATTTGGAAAACAAAAATGATAGTGTGCGCGCTCTCTCATTTGGTGGAAGAGGAAAGGAAAGCTCCAAGTCTCCCCTGGCCTTGCCCTCAGCCCCACAGCCAGCGACTGGCAGAAAAAGGATGAGAATCCAAGCTGCTAATTCCAGTCCAGTTCCTTCCCTGCTGTCCCATCCCACAGCAGCCATTTCTTCTTTGGAAAAATGGTTAAGTTTTCAGGTTGAAAGTATTGATACTCTAGTTGATGGTTACATGTATTTTATCACGTGGAAACCTTGGGGGTTAGAAATTGTTCGTTGTTTATTCTGAATGAATGAGGGTTTTTTTTTTTTTCTCCCCACTGTTTTAAGATCTATTCTCCAGATCACACTAACAACAGCTTTTCATCAAACCCTTCAACTCCTGTCGGCTCTCCTCCCTCCCTCTCAGGTAGTGTATTTTCAATGTCATTTCATCGTAGTAACAGTTTGTAAGAATGATTGCCCCCTCTGCTTCTGCTCTCATAGGAGAAAATTCACCCCCACTCCCAAATCCCAAAACATAACATCCCCAAATAGACAAATAAAAAGAGACGGGAGACACAGATTACCATGTACCGGTATAGTTGTTTATATCCAGACCTCTTCTTAACAATTAAGGGGTCTTCTCAGACGACACTGGCACATGGAAAACATATTTCCTCATCTTTTCTTAGCTCTTCAGAAGACACCAACAGCAGAAAAATGGATTCCAATAAAACATCTCAGATGAATAAACTCAGTCTAAGTAGTCATGAATATGAATACAGAATATATCGTCATCAAATATAGATTATTTAAATGGGTCGTTTCTGGCAGGAATTTTAGGCTTTCTGAATTCCCTCTTGAAAGTATATGCCATTGGAATGTTGGGGAAAAACAATTATGTGGAGGAAAGGGGATGCTTTAAAATAACCAATTGGCATGACCTTTGTCTTCAGATTGAATAATTATAAGTTGCAGGATTATGTCAGTAAATCATTTCGCTTTTCAGAGGCCCATTTAAAGAGACTCATTTCCCTTCCAGTATAAATGCTTCCATTTGGCTGGTGCATTTCTCTTTTCTATGGAAGGAGGAAAGTGGCTTCTAAAAACAAAAAAATCAAATCACATCTGTATCAGATTAAAACCTGATCTTAATGCAGTTTATCCTGGAGTCACCTTCCTAAATTTTGCCTCCTTAGACCCCTTGTTATTCCTTGCATGCACCATTCACATGGCCCAGTGTAAACTGGATTCCTCAGTAAAAAATAGGTGGTTTCAAATTCCGGGAAAACTCCCAGAAGCAGTGACCGTGGCTTAGGTGGGATTTAGTATCAGCCTTTTCCAAGCGTCCATGATCTGGGAGGATCCCAAAATAGAGAGAGAAGTAGCTCCGTCCTAAAGTCCATGCCCAGAGAGACCAGGTTGAAACTGGGAAGAAATTAAACTGATTCTAAGAGGATAATGAAACGTTCCTCCCAGTGGAAATGGAAAGTGAGGTTCAGTATTGTCCTCTCCTGCTTCAGTACCAGATTCTCAGGCTCTGACAAATGATCACAAGTGTCAGTGCCCCCTTTTGAGACAATTAAGGGATAGAGAAGCTGAGCAGGTGGAAGTCCAAGTTCCCCATTTCAAACAAAGCAGCTCTAATTTCATCTGTTTTCTAATTTGGAAGAAAAAAAATGTTCCATGGTTGAACAAAGCTTGAGAACAACTCACGTAGCCTAATTCTTTGATTTTACAGATCAGTGTACTGAGGCCCAGAAAGGGCACATGACCACTGGGGTTGTACCAGTAGTGATATCAGAGCTGGTATGGGGGTCTGCAAGTCCGCTTCTAGATCAGTGGTGGGAGCGGAAAGTTAAGTGCACAGTCATTCGGGGAGACACCGCTAGTCCCATCACCCTGAACTGTGTGCTCTCCGGGTCAGAGGCACCCAGACAGGGCTGGAGATGCCACTTTGTGGTCCTGATAATGCACCGTGGAAGACCACATGTTAGGAAGAAAGAACTTTTATGAAGATGCAAATATGGGGACAGATTGCTATTTTCACACTGACGGCTCTGTCCAAATTCTGTCAAGAAAAGTAATTGAACAAAATATTCTATTTTTATTTAGCATAAAAATACACATCCATGCCCAGAAAAGACAGGAAGAATGGATTTTAAAAGTGCTAACAGTGTCGGGGCATGAGACTTCAGTGAGATCATCGCTATTATTTGTTCCTTTTTTGCATTATGTATTTTCTAAGTTTTCTGTCCTAAATGGGTATTATTTTAAATTTAAAAGCGGTTTTCGTTTTATAGGTTAGACATACACTATGTATTCTCACAGAAATCTTTTTTTACCTTCAAGTTTAGTGAATCATAAGAAAAAATATTTTCTTTTGAAGAAACTTCTTGGATGTTCCTGTTATATTGGGTTTTAAATTTTCTGGCTTAGTGGGTAGCTTCTCACTAATCTTATTTTCTTAAAAAATCGTTGAAGGCTTATCTTTTCTTAAAGACGATTTTTTAAAACAAGCAGCAAAACTGTTTTCCCTTGGTGAGAAGATTCTAGTTTAACATAAACTGACCTTGCGTAAAAGTCCGACAAAACCCCTCCTCCGTACTCTTAAAAATGCCCCGACTGTATAAAGATCGTTTTCCTTCAGTAGGAACCCTTCTTGATAAAATGCAAAATCAGTTAAATGTTCCCTTTTTGGAAGCAGCCCGAGGGAATTGTGAGGCTGTGGAAAGTCTACATATTTTACATTTAAAATGTTTTCCTTGCCCCAGAATTCTTGTATGGGGAGTTTACGGGCATTTTACCTTACTGTTTAAATGAAAATCAGCATTGCTATTTGTGAAAGGACTTTTTAGAATATTGATGAGTTTATTTTTAAGTTTCTGTAGATCTAATTGTAATTCCCATTTTAATATCAGCAGGCACAGCAGTTTGGTCTAGAAATGGAGGACAGGCCTCATCATCTCCTAATTATGAAGGACCCCTCCACTCTTTGGTATGTCTGCTAACTCCGTTCTACCCCTTTTTCCGATCATGCTTTGCTTTGGAAGTCTCCATCACTCTCTGAGATTCTTACTTTCTCTCACTGTAACCTGAGGTCAAGGTGAAGCACCCAGGCTTGGTTGAAGGCAAACTTACTAGACCGTGCTTGTTCCTCTTCATGAATTGTAACCCCCATGCTATGGCAGGGAAGCCCCAGGGCTGTAAACAACTAGGACCAGATGAGAGAATAGAAACCCTGGAAGGATAATGGCGTCCTTCCCCTGTCAATGAGGAGGTGTCTTTCCTGATACCCGAGTGCTGGAGAGCCAGCTCAGATGTATGATGGGAACACTGGATTCTGTAGACCTCTCCTTTGCTTTCCAGAACCATAGGTTTATAGGAAGTTTCCTCCTGACCTCTGAATAAGCAGTCTGCCATTTATCTCCTCACTCACTTTGAATCCCATAGAAACCCAGTAATATCATTAGTAGTAAAGAATTGCTTACTCTTCTAGCAGGCAATAGCTAAAAATTTCCATGGGCATAATTAATATTATACATACTCACATGATGACTCAGAGTCTAACACTTTATTCTTTCTCTACTCATGATGGATGAGGCCAGAAATAGGCAGGCAGCAGCCCTGGTTTATGCAGCCTTTAGTCTGTACGGGAATCAAACAAGGAGGATGGGCAGTGAGTGGGAAAAGCCTTTGAGTCCTTTGGAGTTGAGTTTTCCTTTTTTCCTGCATACTTTGAGATGAAGCCTGAGAGAGGGCAGAGATTTCTCTAAGGTGATGTTTATCTAAGTTAATGTTTTCTTGACAGTGATTCAGGGTTTCCTTTCTTCTCTTTTGATTTATTCTTTAAAGAAAATCTAAAAATGAAACCAGCAAGGTGGATGTTGGTCCTTTGCTGTGATCTTCCTTGCTGTAAGGTGTGAGTCACCTGGCTGCTCGCCTTAGCCCATACAGGCGACCACACAGTGACACACAGGGGCACACCCAGCCCAGCGCAGCAGCAGACCACTCCACATAGCCCATGATGTTTTAGCATTGACTGCAGTCAGGTATTCAAAACTAGGTTTTGTCCAGCTGGAGAACCACAAACACGAGTTTATGGGTGGGAACTGTAACTTCAGTTCACTGTGAATTCTGAACACTCCAGAGGGGATTCACAAGCAGAAACTACCCTCCAGAAAGCTGTGAACCAGAAAGGAAGACAGGCACATGTGGTGACTTCTGTTTATGCTTAGATTGATGCCTCCAGGTATATATGGTCATTCCCATGTTTGGACATTAAAAAGAAACTTAGTAGCTTGTCCAAGGTCAAATAAGTAGCAGAGCTAGCCTTCTAGGGAGGTTGTTTAAATCCCAAACCCACCAAATCAAAATGCACCGTATCATAGACTAACTACATTAGACACACATTCTTCCTGTCAGTATAGAATAATTAGAAATTATTTTTCTCATGCAGCAGAGCTGGTACATCTGTTCACAGAGCCCATTAGAAATCAAAGTAGATTGTAGCAAGATCCATGCAAAGAGGCACCAGATTTAAAATCAAAAGACCTGGGTTCCAGCCCTGTCTTTACCAGTTCCTGGCGGTATGACACTGAATAATTAATTCATTTGATTTCTTCAAGCCCCATTTTCACATCTCTATGGAAGTATAATATTATCTTCCCAGCCTGCTATCCCTGTGTGGAACGAGGACCCAATGAGATGGTATATTTTAAAGGGCACAGTGGAAAGTAGTAATGGATGTCCTAATGGAGCACAGGGAAGGAAATGAGTACATATCCGAAACTATACTATAGGCCTTATGTACTTGGCAAAAACTGGGATTCTGATGGCAGGGATAACGAAAGTTGGGTGGGTTTTAATTGTATCAGATAGTGACTTCTGTACCAGAGTAGGGGCTTTGAAATCAGTGAACCATTGCTTCACGGCTTTGTAATTCTTCAGGATTAAAGCTTCATACAGATTGTAATTTTTTTTTTTTGATAACCATTTTGAAGCTCACAGATACACACAAGCTAATATTGATGAGAGAAAGCAAGAAACAGGTTTAAAACAAAACTCAGAAAGAAATTATCATCTCCGCGCTTTTACCTGTCTCTCTTGGTACTTATGTGTTATATGGATATCAAAGAAATACACTTTCAAGAATATATAATAATTGGGAGACTCTAAATAGATTATCTTTCTGTAGTTAATTTTTAAAGCTCATTAACCTAATGCTTGCCAGAATGTTCCTTAAATCGATGAATGTCTTTGTCTTCTAACCTAAATGTAAATCTGAACTCTCTTTGAGGCAGATGCAGTACCATATAACATATGTACATGATGACGTCCTGGAAGAATTATCGAATTTAGTTCCTTGATGGAAAAAATAACACACTATAATTGTAACATGTTCCACAGTAAATAAAAAAACTATTTTTTTTGTTGTTTTAAGGGAGTATACTTTATTGGACATGTATATTTAAAAACTCAGGGTGTGGTTTTTGTCAACTGAAGATTTACTCACATAATTATGGCTCACATTTCAAACAAAATCAAATTTGGCATCATTTGTTCACCAACAGCAAAGCCGAATTGAAGATCGTTTAGAAAGACTGGATGATGCTATCCATGTGCTCCGGAATCATGCAGTGGGCCCCTCCACAGCTATGCCAGGTGGCCATGGGGACATGCACGGAATCATCGGACCTTCTCATAACGGAGCCATGGGTGGTCTGGGCTCAGGGTATGGAACCGGCCTTCTTTCAGCCAACAGACATTCACTCATGGTAAGTGGCAGCATTTATAGACTCTGTAGGTATCACATGGAATTAGTTTCAGGTATAAATACTCTTGCTGGGGCAGTGCCTGTGGCTCACAGGAGTAGGGCACCAGCCCCATATGCCAGAGGCGGCAGGTTCAAACCCAGCCCCAGCCAAAAACTGTTTAAAAAAAAAAAAAAAGGAAAATTAATACTCTTGCTGTCATTGAGATACAATTCACTTAACATACTGTGTACCCAAAGTTTATCCATGCATCTTAGAGTTCCGTTCATTTTTATTGTCGTATGATATTCCATTGCATGGATATACCACATTAAATTTATTGGTTCATCAGTTGATGGACATTGGATTGTTTCTACTCTGTGGCTGTTATGAAAAAAGCTCCTTTACGTACAAGTTTTTTTATAGGCACACATTTCCGTGAAGGAGTGAATTGCTGGGTTATTGCTGGGGATTGAAATTATTTACCTTGGTGACACTGACCAAAGGATAGAACTCAAGTTCGTGTCAAGTTGCTACTATTTCAAACATAAATGGATTTTTTTTTAAGAAGCCAAAATAATGCCTTTCGATCCTGAGTACAGTAGGTAGAAATATATGGTGTAATTTTTGGTATAAATACATGACATGGGACTATTGTCATTTAATGTATCAAGCCGCTTTGCCACTACCTACTTACAAATAAGTCTGTATTTTAATAGTATTTTAAGCAGGTTTGTGCATACTGAAATTGGAATTTCTTTGCTTATTACCTTTGAAGGGAATTTGGAGAGCATTCCTTTTTGGATGGTTACAAAGATGCAGAGAGTTTTTTTAACAAAATATTAAGTGATGACAATTACTGAGATGACCAAATGGGTGGAAATTTAACTTTGACAGTGAATCTGTGTCATTTTCTTCCTTACAAATTCCTGCCTGATCACTGGACACCTTCCCATCCTACTTTATCCCTGATAGGCTCTTTAAAATTTGCTTCGATGAAAGTCTATTTTCTGCCATCACTGTAGCAAGTCTTGTTTAAAGGTGGTTCCAGAAAGAAACACAAAATAAGTGCAGATTATCAGGAGTTCAAGTTCTTGTGCAGTGGGTTCTTCTGTCTTCCTTTCAATTTCTCTTAATAAAAGACTGAGATTAAGAAAACCATTCTGAAAGATAGAAGATTGAAACCTGCAACCAATTTGAAACCAAAAATACTGGTTTATAAATAGAACCAATGAACTCACTTCTAAAATGTGGAAAGATATTTTTGAATGCCAAAGCTAAATCTTTTTTTTCTCTCTTTTTTTCTTTTCTTTGACCTCTACCCTGAAAATTCATCACTGAGTAAAAATTGTTTGTCTATTCGTGGCAGTTGCTAAGAGTTTACAAAAGGAAAGTCTAGATTTTAATTTAGCTTGGCCTCAGGTAATGTGCGAAATACACTCGGGATGCATAGAATATGAGATTTTCATTTGTACAGCTTTTTTTTTTTTAACTACAATGTTTAAACAGTACTGCTTTTAATTAAGAAATCTGGCTTTATTAAAAGCCAGATCTGTGACTTATAACCATTTCTGTATATCTGCTCTCAATCAAGAGAAAAATAGTTTAATTTCTGTAGCTGTGCTCGTTTTGCATATGTTAAACGGATGTAACATGCACCCAGGGCATTGCTTCAGAGGCAGTCTATTCCATAAATATGTAAAGTTTGTTCTTAAATACCAGATGTAGGTTAAGTGGTTCTTTACAATATTAAACTATATATAGATGCTTTTTGCAACTATTTGACCTTTGAATTGCCTCTTATTTGAGCCTGATTCAGAGGTGGGATGGGAGAAAAAGACTAGAATTATTTTTGCATAGGGGACTTTGGACTGACCCTGGCAGAAGGAAAGGAGAGAAGATTGCTAGAACAGTAGAAAAAGGGAAATAATTAGCCAGGATTACACAGAAACATGTTTAGTTTGATTTGGGGAAAAATCTAGACAGAAGCAATAACACCATCAGTTTTGCCAACGAGGAAAGGTCCTATTCTCTCCTCTGAGGACCTTTAGTATTCATTCAAGAGCAGCCAAGGAGCCAGCCAGATCATAGCATAACTGCAAAGATGCAGCGTGTTGACAGCTTGCTGCCCTTTGAACCCAAACGAGGTTTGACGGTCTTTCTCCTTCCTTCCTGAAAACCATTCGGCACGTCCCCAGAACCTGCTGTCCTCAGCCCCAGACACTAATGTGTGTGAAAGAGATTGGGTTGGCAGATCTTTCCTTTGCAAACTGGTATGAATTTTTAAAACAAAAACATAAGAACAAAGGAAATAGTTTTTTGATTTAGTCAGTCTGAAGTTAGCCTTTGACCGCTTGATACATTCCACAATAAAAAGGAAGTTTAAGAGGAACCAAAAAAAAAACCCAACCCTCCCTACCCCCAACAACAACAACAACAAATAAAATTCAAGGAGGATACTGGTAATGTTTTCCACCCTTGAATTTTAATACATAAAACAGGCTATAAAACTCGGGCCAGCTGCAGTAAATAAAGTAGCCGTGGGAGGTATCCACCGGAAACTTGGGCAGAAAACAGCGGTGAGCGTCTCCTTCCCAGCCGCACACCTTCCCTTGTTGTCTTGGAGTGGAAGCGAGTCACAGTAACCTGAGACTCATCCCAGTCCCAGTTCTGTTGCGAGCAAATCTCCTTTCTGACTCTCCTTAATAATTCCTCCTGATTAAAGAATAGACAGCTTTGAATCCCGTTGACCTCTGTGCTGGTGTCGTTTCCTCTCTCTCTGCCTTCTGAAAATCAAAACAAAATGGCTTGATGACTTGGAAGATGATATAAGCATTTCTTTCTGCAGCAGCTTGAAAATCGTGGTGGGGAAGACTGTGGTTCTGCCTCGGCTGTTATGTTATCTCATTTAATTGCTAACATATTGTACTTAGCTTTTGATTCATAAAATGTTTTCCTTGGAGTTCTGAAGTAGGTCTTCAGTGATTTACTAAGTATTAGTATAATGAAAGGGATTTTTTTTCACAGCGGCGTGGCTCCTAACACTGGAGTGAACGTCGTATACTTGCAAGCTTTCTAGATTATATTATTTGGCTGTGTTCCTTCCTGCTCAACAAGCCTCCCCGACTTTCCAGTACAAGATAAAGACCAGTTTCTTAGCCCAGCATTTAAGATTCATTACTATTTACCAAAAGCCTTATGCTTAGCTATTACAATAGGAAGAGAGTTTACCAGCAGCACCAGTCCATGCATATTACCAGAGTTTGCCCTATACGTTCTCCTTGGGTATTTCTGTATCTGACTCAGCCGGCCCTGTCTGCTTGTCTCTATCCATCTAATTACCACCCATTCTCAAAACCAGGGATGACAAGATTCTTCTTCTTCCAAATTCGTTTTGTTTGCATAGAGTCCGGACCACTCAATTTTAGATTCAAAAAGCACCCCAGAAGTCACTTGGTGCATTGCTCTTGTTTTGCTGGTAAATGAAGACTGAGGCCCAGGAAAGGAAGTGACCAAACCATGGGTATTCTCTAGTTAATGGCCAGGGATGATTAGAAACCAGACAAACTGGCTTCTAATCATCCCTGACTTAAACCAGGCTGACTTAAATTCTTCTTCTTCCAGGAAGCCTTCCCTTCAGCCCCTACCCACGAGAGTCATGTTCTCTTTCACTCTCGTAGCATTATGAATCATAGCATTTCTAGATAATTTATCTTTACCAGCTGTGCATGGCTATGCACCTTTATAGGTGCGACTTCTGCCTTACCAGCTGGTGGAAATTCCTTAAGCTCCACATGTTGAACTTTGTTTCCGACCCCCTGACCACTCAGACCATCAGTCCAAAGGAAGAGAACGAAACTAACATCTTCTGAATGCCTGACAAGTTGCTGGGTCCCTTGCCACATGCTCCCAGGCATCATCCTAGGTAGACTTCACGAGGGCCCAGTGAGGGGACGGCAGTGGCCATTTGGGGTGTTGGCAAAATGAGTCTCAGGAAGTGTGAACAGTTAGTCTCAAGTCAGGCACTTAGATTTGAGCTCAGGCACATCAACTCCAAATTCATTGTTCTCTTTTCACTGTCATGCATACAGTGAGTACACCTTTGAGAACTAATTGTAGGTGCTGGAAGCTTGTTTTTTTTAAGCCTTGATAAGTGACGGTTGGCAAAAGAAGTTTCCAGGTATTCCATGGCCAAGTTCCCAGAGAAGCCCTTCTTCCAAATGTAGAATAGAGAACATTTTCTACAATGTGGTAGCATACTCAAATTAAAACCCACATTTTCTATACACTTATTCTCAAATCAACATATCTGTGCAAAGTGGCCAAGAGGTGTGAGCTATCACTGGTAGGATTCTTGATGTAGTCAATTTTAAGTTCTGAAGTTAATTTTCTTACCATAGCCACCCAGTTTTCTAATAGAATTAAAGCAGAAATCTCTGAATGTGGGAGAATAAGGAAATAGCTGGCCTTGTAATTAACCTAGTTCGAATTTCTTCCCAAATATAATCCCCTCTGTATCTTAGATACCTCTGTGGTTAATCCTGATATTAAATTACTAGATTTCTTTTAAATTATTGAAATGGCAATTTTCCAAATGTAATTTTTTCTATTGTTCTTTCAGTATTCAGATGACCTAACCTCTTCTCTTACCTGAATAGGTCCAAAATTCATATCAAATGTCTTAATCTGGTTTGTGCTCCTGGTTATTGACTGCAATGATGATGTCATGGAGACAAAATCCCACATTCTATTAATATATAATATTAGTGTGGTTTCCAGATCATTTTTGTTTTGTTTTATCAATGTATCAATGGTTACCACGTACAGGCTCGACACGAAGACATAATCTCTGCTTCAAGAGATTGGTGGACCTGTAGGAAACAGTTTGCTCCATACTGATCCACTAGGCCCCGTAAGAGGACAGGGCCCCAGCTGTCTTATCCAGGGGAAACAGATCACATGGTCACTTGGTAGAAGAACAGGGTAGTCCTGAGAGGAACTGCTATAGTTGACTTAGGGATGGG